GCAAGGGCCCAGGTATACCGAAAGATTGCTTACTAACCTATAGAAAGCGATATATAGACACAGCTTTATGGAACAACAATCACTGGTTAAAGTTTTATGCAACGTTTCGACGTGTTTCCCCCGTCGTCCTCAGGCACATAATGAGAAGAAGTGATGGGCAAACTATATATACATTAATGCTTATTATTAAGAACACACAAGAGAAAATGGTTTATTGATACATTACATTAAATTTTAACAGGTACAATAAGAGGTACATAATTCTTAAAATAACATACAGGCTGATTAAGTAAAATAATTGAAGTAAAGTAAATGAATTAAAAAAGATTAATTGAAGATTAAATAAACAACTATTGCTGGTATTGGAGTCTTTTATTAATAGAAATTACATTGTTCATATAACTAACTATGCTTAAAGTTGGAAATTGTTTTTGAATATGAATAATTACAAGTTGATAAGTTTATCATATGCATGCGAACACCTTCATCTCTGTTAAGGTCAGTTCCATAAAGCTGTGTCTATAATTATATCGTACTCACAATTGCTAAATGCCATTCAAAGACTCTATAGAAAGCGTTCAACAAAAGCACATTTTTTCAAAAATTTCCTGTTTTAAATGTTTGCAAATCATGATCAGTTTACTAAGCCTATAATAATCTGAAAAGAAAAAAAATAATCTATTTTTTACTATTTTTAAATCTTTCCGAGAAAAGTAATCGTTTTTATTCAAGCGGTAATTTCTAAGAACCCCCCAAATTTGATACCCTTGAGTATAACGATGGGGTCAAGTGGCATCTTCTTCTAAAGTATAAATAGCAGAGGTTGGGCTTTTTCTTCATTCCAAGGTTGAGATCGAAGTTGTCGATATCGAAGAACTTCTCTTCTCATTGCTATGTCACCACCCCAAGCTGATTTACAGACGAAACCAGACCCATACATCATAGATCAGGTACTATAATATTTTCTTAATTATTACACCTAGGTTCAGCAGGATTTTTAATGGATATTTTAGGATTCCATAGGAAACTTATTTTATTTGACAGTGGATAGATGCGTTGAGATTTTGTGATAACCATGCGATTATTTTTTTTTATAGATTTACATTTACTGCTATATCAAATAAAAAATATTTTGATTATTTCAGTGAAATCTCAATTAAAGGAATGTCTATTAGTTCATTAAACAAACTTTGATTATTTCATTAAACAAACTGTGATTATTTCATTAAACAAACTTTGATTATTTCATTAAACAAACTTTGATTATTTCATTAAACAAACTTTGATTATTTCATTAAACAAACTTTGATTATTTCAATGAAGCGAATTGATTATTTCAATGAAATGAATATTTTTAAGTTAAATCCATCATGTCTCCTACACGACAAGATATGTATTTTGATGGTACTAACAGATGGTTTGAGGGTTTTAAACCTATTCACATTCAAGTTGGATTACAGGAGTATTCCATTAATATACACTTACACCTTTTTTGTAACTTCAGGTTTCAGAATCCAGAATGGCTTCAGAGAAAAGTACCAAAAAGACCAAAATTATTGCAGGGGCCATTTTGGTGACCTTGGTAATTGTCGGTTGTATTGTCTTTGGATCATTGGCCTACAGCTATCGCCTTTTCTATAAAACGGTATGTACAATCAATATTATATAGCTTGCTGCTTGCCTTCTTAATAGTCTTTGAGTTCTAGTTAGATCTGAATGAAATTATTTAATCTATTTGCACTATTGTAACATTGAAACCTAGAGCAAACCCGTTGCACAATCCAAGTTACTATGAGGCAAGGGTCTGATTGGATTTAAAGGACTTAATTTGATAGTTAGAAGTAAGAGACACTTCCAAAGTTTGGTCTTCGTTTCAGTAGTGAGGCATTCGCCGCATTTGCCTTCATTACGCTATGGGCCGGGCCTCTACCCCAAGCTTAATCAACTGATACCTAGTTTGGCGTCGACTTTGATTGTCGTCTGAAGTGATGGAAGGTGTATACTAGTTACTTAAACCAGAGTTTCTATTGTATTGACAGGAATATAAAGCTGAATCTAGAATTGACGGAGAGAAGATACCAGAACATATCTATGTTGATTATAAGAAAGAACTGATCTACGTTAACAACAAGAAAGCGGGACGAGTCGATGGCATGAGAGCATTACATAATTACAACAGGGTAAGTGATAACCACATTGCGTACTTTTGAGGTGTATGTAACGAGAGCATTGCATAGCTATAAAAGGGTAGGCCGATGCTGCTGTACTGACTTAATGTCACCAATTGCACACTGCGTGATGTTACAAGTCTTCAATGGTCCCGAATAGAGGATAAAACTGGCATTACTTCGTTCATTTATTTCTATTTGATTAATGATTATCTTTTTTTTATTTCTGGTAGAAATTGGTGGCCCTATATGATGAAACTCAGAACATTTGTTTGATAGACCGTTTGGATGAGGATTTCGACGGCGGACTGAAATATTGGTCTAAATATGGCGTAAGTATGTTTCTAAGAGAATTTTCATGGTTAAAGGGACATAACTCGTTTTGGTACTCAGAATCTATTCACTTCAGTATCGGTCAGGAATACCGACAGGAATAGGATGTTCTATCGAGCCCTTTAAGTTAGAAATGATTTCATCCGATCACCTTGATGAAATAAAAAATACCTTTAGTCATTCATTACTGTGAAAATTGAAGGTTGAGTCGTAAGTGAAAAGGGAATATATTTTATTGAATTAATGTTAGATGCATCCCCAATGCGAGATCAAAATCAATGTAAAGCTATAACATTTCTTTGACCAATCTTTACATTGTATTCTGTAGGGAAGTGATTCGAATCAGCAGAAGATGACTTTTGATTACTCCGAAGACCCAATCGAACCAAAGGTCCTGAAGAGGTTCGCTGGGGAAGAGGTGGCACTTCATTGTGCTCATAACAACGCCACGGCTCACTGGATGTATGCTTCTAAACCATACGTTGGAACTTTGGATACAAAAGAAACTGAAAGCCATGATATTGAAAAGAGAGGAAGTAAGTAGTTTTCATTAAGAAAAAAATAATTATCAACTAGGGATTCACCATGTTCCGCTGTACATGTCTGTTAACGAAAATACTTGATATAGCATTATCAGAGTGAAATGGGAATTATATCAATATTAAATATGACAAAAAGGATTGATTGTAATAGTGTATTCAATTATTGGCACTGTGTCTTCCACTGTCATGGGATATATTTTGAAACATTTATATCATAGTCGTATTATGCAGTAGGAAATGAAGCTCATTTGACTCACTGTATTAACATAATTGACATAAAACCCACAAATAGTTGAGCAATGGGAGAAATGATTTATTTATAAACATGAAACATACTCTCCCTTTAAATAAAAAATGATAACATAATATTAATTTGTTTTTATTTTCAGTTTGGCGATGCTATTATTACTACTTTATATACTATGGTAGATTGTATTGGTACCGAAGATGTTACTATATCGGCTAAACGTATGATGACAGAATGTTTTGTGTAGCATGTTTTTTTATAGAAGATTTTGCAAATTTAGTAGTAGCGCTGTCATTTTGTAATACATGGTCTTTATAGAGTCAAAAATAACATGCCTTTCTTACCTTACTATTTGTTTGAGCGGTTGCTATGAACGGTATAAGAAATGCAAGAATACGTAACCAAATTTCAGATCCCTTAATGATATTGCATTCATCGAATTATTACAGTTTGTCAGAATGATTCATGATTTTTGGTAGATTTGATATAAATGCAAAATCATGGTAAATATATAATATTTGATAGGTTAGGGATATTTTATTTTATCTAATGTGTTCATCAAAGTTTGCAAAATTTTCCTTTACTGACCAATGCTTTATGTTCTATATGACTAATAACGAACCATATAATAAAACTTGAATTGTAAAAATTAAAAGTAGATGAGATAGAGCAGAGAAAGAGAGACAGAGGGAGCTGGAAAGTTTACTGACTGTGTTAACAATAATGTTTTAAAATGTATTCGATTATATTTGTTTCATAATAAAATACTAGTGAAATTCCTTGTATTTCTTGATAATGACTGTAAACCGTTTATTATTATTTATTCTACAGTTGTATCTCATGGATTTAATCAAGGCAAACATAATAACCAGGATCCATAGGCGTAGGAGACGGGAGGAGGGGGAGACTCATATAATATTTTCGGGCAGTTACCGAAAAACCTCTGGCAGATGAAAAATGAATGAAATGAAAATCCACCGAAAAATATCGATCAACAACCCGAAATTTTCGGGTAAACAAGCCTGCCCGACTCCCCCAGCAGGCTTTCGGTCCGTACGCCTATATGCAAGGACCTCTTTTATTGCATATCTAAGCAACGCCCTTGAAATGTTAAGGAGGGGGGAAGGAGAATTAGAAACTGGGAGGACAAGCAGCTTTAATCGGAGCTTTATGATGAGGTTCCAGTGAGTTTGGCCGATTTACCAAAAAAATTGAAATGCTAACAAAAATCACATGAATAATATGGCCTTTTGAGTCCAATTTTCCAATGAAGATGGTTAAAAATTTGCAGTTTACAGTGAGGAATTTGTTTTTAGGACTGCGGCTTCAGTTTTACCCTTTTTAGAAAATTCGTATTGTGCTCAGCTTGTAGAGTCGTGCATTTGATGTCAACTGATAAAATATATAAAAATTTAGCCATGAAAATCATTACAGCTTTCCCTTATGCATAAGAGGTGGATGTATTTTTCGATATATACAAGGAAACAACCAAGCACAGAATACCAAAATTGCTGTCCTCAATTAAGTCCTCGTAGGACATTTGGCAAATTGTGCCTGATAGAAAAACGAAAGCGAAGCACTTGGATTTGCCGATGAAGTCACGTGGCAAAGATCTAAAAACAAATATGAAACCATGCAGTCAACACTGATCTGTCAAATAGCATTTTTG